CGACGAGGCAGTCGGTTGTTGGGCATGCGTAACACACGTCCTAACCACCTCAACTGATGAAGTTTCACTTCTTCATCCATTGATCTGCCATCCTTACCTAGGACCCAGTTTCCTACAACAGCCCTACCCACCCGGTTGTCTCACGATACACGAACAATGTTTCGAGTAAACGTATGACGGAAAACCGGCAACCTCTGAATACCTCTGACTCTGAAGGCCATGTTTCGCAGCCATAAAGTAAGATGGAGCGAAATGCTACGCAGTACTCTTGTCCTTTGATTAGCATACGGATGTTTGGCCTACGCCATAAGTGACGCAAGTCACAACCAGAGACCTTACACTGTGTGGGCATCCGCAAGTAATATCCGCTCTCATACACACAAAAGCACACGAGACCAAATCGGTTAGAATTAAATCCTTTCTACACCTCTTAATAACTCCCTTAGTAGAAGATAAGAACCACAAGTTCAGATAAATTGCAAATTCACATGCCTGGAAGAACAATGGTGCAAAGCTATTATTATCTGATGGATTACGACTGAACGCTTCAAAGTCAAGATTCAATCTAAAATATTTGCTGGGGTACATTTTGGTATCTTATAGGTGGCTGGACAAGCTTACGCATTCCTCTTGGTGTCTTCACTGGACTGCGTGTTTTGGCTAGGCGTATTAGGTATTGTGTTATGATGTTCATAAATCGTGCTCCAGATTGTAACGTACGATAATCTATACATTGTATAAATGTGTTATTAGTGTGAGAATAGTAAATCGTTTATAGACGATTCATTTGTCCAGTTCGTAACTTCAAGTCAACACTCCGTTGCATACTACTACTACTGACAGACAATGTTACAAGTAGTATTCACCACTTAACTTCGAAAATCAATATATAATATAGTCAGAGACTTTTTTTCAACAAAGTAAATATTTACTTACACTGTAACATTCATGTGAAATAATTCCACTTGGTAACTTCGGCATAAACATACATCCAATCGTTTGAATAAAAGCCATCATCATACTTACGGCATGCAGTCAGTTAACATGCAAACATTGAGCGAAGTTAACATATGTTCACTTGTCGACGCTTATCACATGTGAATAAGTTGTGCAGTTTGTTAAATATATATATATACATAATAAGATAGTTGTTTTGCTGACATTTATTTCAAACTGATAACTTGTATTTTATTTGTTTTAATCGGCTTATTTCATGAAGTTTGAAATTGAACAAAAAGTTGTTGATTACGTCAGTTTTGGTGTTTATCAAAATAAACACAAATCATTCGATCAAAAATAAAATTATGATTATGTAATTGCTAACTTACGTGATTGTTGTTTATACGACTGAAATGCCAAAGAAACTAACACCAGATGGGAAAGATATGTAATTTGGGATGATAAGCCTATTACCTCTACTAGAGCATTGGCTGCCGATCAGTATTCTCCCGTTTACTCTGTCCTGGAACTTTGTTTTCAGTTATATCCAACTGTTGATCATTCTTCCCATGTCTGTTTGCATCCGATTCTCGGTGTTATGTGTTTTAAAGTCTTACTTTCTGCCTTTGGCTTTGAAGATTTAAGTAGACCTAGATTTTAATCGTGTATTTGCTAATTCAGCAATACAAGTACACTATAGAGTGTCTACTATAATTCCTCTTCTTGTCTTGCGAAAACACTTTGATCATGCCACTCACTTTTATGTTATGATAGTCTTTCCTCTTGTAGCAACTACTAAGGGAGACTTTCTGCTGCATACTACTTATAAGCCGACTTTTGAGTAGTATGCAGCATACTGGTGATTCCATTCTGAGTGTAAACCTCAAGTAATCGAATGCTGACTTGTGCATTTTCAACAAGCCAGCTATAATGAAATAGTGAGGTGGTCAGATGTGGTCAAAACCAACCAAACTGCAACTGACGGTGAAGCTTTGGGAGAGTTAAAGCCCTTAACATATCGAAGCAGCAAAACTGATCAGCAAGGAGGATATGATGCACATGTGAAGGTGCGGATCGGCAAAACCAGAGCACCATTTCTACAATTGAAGATCATTCTAAACTCAAAACAACTATCTACCGACAACCAAAGTCACTATTTTCAATACAAATGTTAAGAGAGTTCTACTGTATGTGACGGAAGCTTGGAGAACTACGAAAACCCTCATTCAGAAGATACGAATGTTCATTAACGATTGTCTACGCAAGATACTTCGGGATGCATTGGCCAGACACCATCAGCAACAAATTACTATGGGAGAGGAAAAATCAGATTCCAGTGTAGGAGGAAATGAGGGTGAAGTGCTGGAAGTGGATAGGACATACATTGAGGAAAGCATCCAAATGCATCAAAGTTCAAGCCCTCATTCGGAATCTTCAAGGCTAACGGAAAATTGGAAGGCCAAGGAACACATTACTCCGAGAAATGGAGACACATATGAGAAGAATGAACGAAAATTGGACAGAACTGGAAGGGATAGCCCAGGACAGAGTAGGTTGGAGAACGTTGGTGGGCGGCCTATGCTAAATTGGGAGTTACAGGCGAACAAACTAAGGAAGAAAGCAGATATTCACAGACAAGTATTTGTAGATATTATTGGGTAGATAAATAGATTTTCCATTCCACTATTGAGTTCCCTCTCAAGTAGGCAGTTTCAACTATTACTTCAAGTCTCAGAAACTACACATTTTAACATAATACGTTCGCTCATATGAGACTTTTCAAGTGCATTGAAAGGGGATAAATAAAAAAGCAAGGCGGTATTTTAATGACTCTATTTATTTAACTCAATTAACGTAGTATGTCAACATTTAAAATCCGCCAGCTTCTAAACTACCAATCACAACATCAGTAAAACAAAACATTTGACCTTGTAAACTCATTTATTTATGTTCTGTTATAGATCAAAATGTGAGGTCAAATGGCATTATAAATGATAAATCTCATATGAGAAATAAATAAGACATTTTTGAAATCGCGAATCGATTCATGTTAGACTACTAATAATCTCCATAACTCCATAATGCAAATTACCTGTGCTCACTAGTGACTAGCTCTGTAAGGAATCTCCGAATTCTAATGAGAAGTCGTGACTAGTGGAGTTCACCTCCGTTCAATTGTGAAGCACTGCTCACCGAAGACAGTGGATGAGGTTGCGCAAGACCGTGAATCGATCGAAGTTACACATTAGCACCGTTAGATGCTGGATCAGTGGTCCAGAGGTTAAGCATTCTCAGAATAGACTGAAGGCCCTGGGTTCGAATCCTACAAGTGTCAGGAGTCGTCAACGCGCACTGCCATGGATGAGTCCCATACGATCGTGCAGGCATGTGTGTGTACGCTATGCGCGAGTACCAGTGGAGTTAGACCGTGTCAGGTGTGAGACAGTTACTAACTGAACATAATGGATGAGGTCACACAATCTCGTGGACTGAATGCAGTTACTCATTAACACCTCTTGACACAGTCTCAGTGGTCTAGATATTCACCGACAGTGATCAAAAACGAAGTCCTTGTTCTCAAGTCCAGTGTGAAAGTCGTTTATGCTCACTGTTGATGAGTCGCGTACTTTAAAACGAAAAGGCCTTCCAGCACTTAACAGTTTATCTCACGACAGTCTATTCATGATTTCAATGATACTATTTTGTAATTTTCCCACTCAGTTCTATTCTCAGTAAATCTTAAAAATCAATTTTCTTTCAACTACCTTTCTCCTAATGTTTATCAAAACTTTTCATCAGAGAAAAAAACGACTGATTTTCAACCTATTACAAAATGATTCTAAATATTTTTTCAAAGAACAATCTATGAATAATGAATATCGGTATTCATTGATTTGTAGATTATTACCAGTCTGAAAATTATTTTAAGTCAAAGATTGCTACATAAGTAAATCACGAAAATTCCTTATTTAATCAGTACCATGTACTTAAACAAATTACATTAGATCGAAGTGTTACGCCTGCACGTAACACGTCATTTTGATATGCTTGAACTATGACGAGTTTACCCCTTAGTCGGAAAACGAAAGCGAGGATCCAGTGACACGACATGCTACCCCGAATCCGATAATCCCAAACCCCATACTGAAGAAAAATAAGAAGACAAGACTTGATATGAAGTAAAACCTGTATTCTACAAGCATTCAGAAAGTACGAGGTCCGAGTCTAGAAGAGAATCAGGATCCTGGACTAGGGATCCGAGACCGGGTCCTGGTCCTGGTCATAGAACGTTACAGATAATGCGTATTTATACATTTGAGTCAAATAGGAAACAACATCGAAGTGTTTGACATTGACAGTTAAGATGACCAGCAAGAAGTAACATTTAGAGTGACACTGATAGTCAGATGGAGAGTTAGCGGCACTTACTCTTCATCTCAAAGTATAACCATGCATTTATAGCCACTTTCGGTGAACTCCTACTCAATGCCTTCTCATAGCAGAGATGTTTTTTACAAAATCTAGAGAATGTAAGTGAATGTTCAGTGCCTAAATCAAGTTGGTAAGTAAGGATGATCCAGTCGGATGAAATGGAAAACCTTTATTCCTAAACCAATGGTTCATCAAAGCTCCATGATCCTCAGCGAACAAACTGCTTATGAATCTAGTGTTAGTGACTAGTTAGCGTCGGACTGCATCCGCAGGTGTTGCTTAATTGCTTTGTGGAATAAACCCGCAAATCTTGATGAGTGGCCAACATGTCAGTATCCTAACCAACTCACAAAGTCAGTCACCTCTGTGGAGCACAAACATTTCGGCGCCACATAACTCTGATAGCACATTTTCTCAAATAAATAAACTTATTCACTGTACAATCTTATTCTAACTTAAAAAAAATTATCACTTTAGGTTAAATATTTGAAATAACTAGTTCACTCTGTTTGTTCTTACAGTTAAAACTACAAGATGATGAATTTTGGAATCCACGTCTATTGATCGATAATGCGGAAGGTGAACCAATTGAAATTATCAGTCATGAAGTAGAATTTGTTGAACCAGACTTTGAAGCGTATCTTGTGGAGAAACGACGTATTAAAGGTATTTTTCATGAAACTTTGGAATTAAGACACTTTCCATTTGATTGTCAGGTAATTAACTAACTGTATACTTAATTAATGTGAATTGTTAAAGAGTAATTTTTTGATTGTATGGTTTGTATCAGTTAATTGTGTCCTGTTCAGTCATGGGGAATTCTAGGAGTTCTAGTGAGAAGTTGTGTTCAGTGGAGTTTAAACATGTCGCGTGTGAGGCAGTTTTAATAGCTGAGGTGGTAAGATGTCATGGATTGATTTGAGTGACATATCAATGCCTCCTAATGCCAAATTAGTGGTCAACAAGACCGGCACTCATATGTGCAGGTCATTTATGTGCACTGCGAATGGGTTCCACACTGAGACGAAGTGGGTGCACCAATGCTTCACGGTTTATCTCATGGCAGCCTAACATCGGTCGTTTCATGGTTTCAATGACTCTCTTCAAGTTCCATGATTCCTCAATAATCAATAGCTGTGACCTTTCAAATAATTTATTTTCGATTTTAACTCCTCGGTCTAAATTAAATTATTCATATTTTCAACTTCAATACATTCATGCTACTAGATAATCTTTTTAGACATACCGCCAAAAACCTTCAAAATTGAACTGAATCAAAACGAATTAAATTATATTGAGAAGATTGAGGCAGGCGAGGAAGATTGCATCATGCAAATTTACACTCTGAGTCAGTTAAAAACGAAAACATTACATTGAATACTCCATTTGCTCACCATCTTTGAGTCGTGACTTCCAACGCTCCATCCTTCTTCCATTCCTGCTGCTGCTTCCTTTACTTCCTGTTGGTATTCCATTTACTTCTTGCTTTTGCTCCATTTGCTTTCCGTTTTCCTCTTCTGACCGTGAGACTTCTTCTTTCACGTTCCTTCTTATACTACTTATATCGTTCGTATAAGTAGCGCACACCACAATATGACTCCATGTTTTGTATACAGTTGAGAATTTAAAAGTTAGCGGAGAAACGTTTTAGTTTAGTTGAATGATTGTCAAGGAGTTTTTCGTTCTTTGAGCTGAGTATGTTTTGAAAATACTTCACTTCCTCTACCTGAAGTTTATGCTGATGCTCTGTGTTCAGAAGAACACTGAACAGCTCCACAACGGGAAAGAAATCCAGCTCAAAGAACGAAACTTCACCAAGAACAGTTGAAAATGTACTGCGAAATTCAATGGCTTATAACTTATTTGATAACCCTAATCTAAACTGATTAGTTATTTTCACTGTTAAATAAGACACTTGTATAAAATCAACTGTCTAAATGAAGAAACATGCGAATTATGGTATATACTAAGATCAGCAGTCAATGATTGTTAGATCATTACTAGGAATTTGGAAGCACTAGACGGTCGTTTCTTCCTGGTACGGAGACTCATCAGTGGCAGAGCGCATACACACGCAGGATTCGAACCCAAGGCCTTCGGCCATTTGTGACAACGCCTAACCTCTGGACCACTGGACCGTCAATCAAGGGTGTTGAAAAAACGCACCAATATCCATAACTCTAATTGAACGATTATGGTATAATCTACTTCCCTAGACACTTCTTTGTAATTTCTAATAATCCAAAAAGAGGGAATTTAACCACTGTCGAAAAAACCACCAACAAACTTCATGATGTCGTCATCATCGATGACAAACTACTGTAGCAAAAAAAAGTCAAAAACCAGTTCGATTGTTACATTTCTTTGTTTACGCTTCCCTCTCTCCTCGCGTTCATTTTTTCTTAATAAACGATCTGATTAAAATTTGTCAAGTAGACATGCATTTTTCGAGAGAAATGATTGTTATCCTACATTGGGTTTTTTTCCTATGTATTCCTAACCTATTACGTAACTTTTATTGCATAGTTGAAAAAAATACTGAAAGATAAAATCAAACGAGTCGATTAACTTTTAGAGAATTGTATGCCAATGACGTAAAATACTTTTGTTTAGAAGCATGGATTATCATGGGGAAACATAATAACAATTACTAGGCAAAATCGGATTAAGTGATTTGTTTATCAGAGTTGTAGAGATTAGTGTTTTTACGAATTTGAAATCGTCAATCAATCGTTGTTAGACCATCATTAGAAACCTGGAAGCACTGGAAGATGGTCGTTTTATCCTGGTATGGGACCAGTCATCAGGTTAGGCGTTCGTGAACAAGATCGAAGGTCCCGGGTTCGAATCCTGTGAGGTGCAGGAGTTTTGGATGCGCACTGCCACCAGATGAGTCCCATACGAGGCAGGAACAAACGGCCGTCCAGGGCTTCCGGGTTTCTAATGGTGCTCAAACAATGATTGATTGATGATTTCAAATGTGTAAGTCATTTGTATTTGGTTTTTTTCAATCTCCTCAATTAATATCTAGGACTGTGATTCATCACAACTCTGTCAATAATGCTTGTAATCTAAAAAGGTTATTTTTCATTGAGATTGTTCAGGAGATGGTAGTTTTGTCTTTAAATTATGAATCAATCATTGTGAGGCCACCATTAGAATAACACCTGGAAGCATTGCACGGCTGTATCGTCCTGGTAGGGGACTAACTCATCAGCAGTGTGCATCAACGACTCCTGCATTAATTAACAAAGACAAATGAGTAAGGTTGATTGATCAGAGTTAGATAATAACACCGTTGGATGCCGGCTCAGCGTTCTTGCTCTCAACATCGAAGCTCCGGTGTTCGAATCCTGCCAGTGGCAGAGGTTGTGGATGTGCATTGCTGATGGATGGTTTTTTGAGTGAATATAAACTCTGAGATGTGGCAGGTACATAGACCTGAAGAGTCCTAATTAAAACCAAACTCACATACTATATTCCACTGCTACCCACTCACAATCTCTGCTATGGTTGGGGACCTTTTTGACTTTCATTTGGAGTGATCTTCCAAAATATTTCCTTTGTATTCGTGATAAAATAAAGGAAATTTCTTGTAATCTCAAAAATTGTCATCAGTCATGTTAATTCTGAACTTTGATGAAGTCAGATATCCATAACGTGCATGTTATACTCCTCAAACCCCCTCAAACTTGCTACTCTAGAGAGAAGGTAAGAGTGAAATAGAAAATCTATTTAGCTATGGAATAATATGTACAAATACTCATCTGCAACTCGACATTTATTAACCATAGTTCATTCTGAAATAATATTGATAATGTCATTTGAATAACAAATAGAATTTTAAAAAAGTTAGCCTTACAGGAAAGAGATTATCATGAGGTTACATGTTAAAGGAAACAGCAAAAATGAACTTATCAGTGTCATGTTATGACATTTCCTTATTGAAGAAACTTGTTATACAATAACAGGCTTATTTAACGAATCCAAACGTCATAGATAACAGTATAAATGAGACCGGAAATAAATATTTTTGTGTACATTGGAAATAAGTTTTATCATTATAGGGTTATGGGGAAATAATAAAATCGGTCAGTGTGAGAGCACTATTAGAAACCTGCTAGTGCTGAACCAAGCATTTCATGCTATTATGTGACTCATCCATGACCACTTTAGGCTGAAATCGAACCCAGAAACTAAGGTCTCACGTCCCGACCACTGAGCCGGCATCCAATGGCGTTAATGTGTAAATTTATCTATTCATAATATTGCACGACCTCAGCCATTTAGTTCGTTGGGTAACTGCCTTGCATCCAACAGGTTTGAACTCCCCTGGTCATGGCCTCTCGCTAGAATTCCAAGGATTTCCTCCCGAATCTAGTCACTTTTAAGCGCATAAATTAGCTGCAATCTGCTAAATAAATGTCTTATTTTTGAAAATTCCCATATTATCGATCACAATATACATAGTTATTTACTTATGCCTGTTACCCACAATGGAGCCCATTAACCTTATACAAGCTGTCTAATCGAACTTTAAACGTCGAATTATAGCTTACTGCGAAATGTCATCGGAAGTGGTTACTTCAAGTGGTGTCCATCATGGACATTATCTTCGTCTGAATTTTCAGGAGTGGACCTTTTACCAGAAGACTCACCAGTAGACTTAGAGTATGCCGATGACATAATTCTATTCGCCGAAGACGCTGAAGAAATGCAGAGTCTTCTGACTACCTTAAGCAACAATACAAGCATATTCGGGATGCAATTCTCCCCGGTCGAAATGCAAAATGTTGCTTTAGGACTGGGTTGAATCGGCACCTGAACTAATGATAGAAAGTGAAGTAGTTGAGCGTGTAGACCACTTCACTTATTTGGGGAGTCATATCAGTGCCGATGACCTGGTCACTGACGAAATCTCGGCCAGGATACAGAAAGCTCGATTGGCTTTCGCCAACTTGCGTCACCTAGGGCCTCAGGGAGGGATCGGTTTGCTAACCAAAGGACGAGTGTACTGCCCAGTGGTTCGCTCCATCCTAATTTATGATTGCGAAAAATGGCAAGCAAGGGTAGAAGATATTCAGAGGTTGTTAGTTTTCAATCGTAACTGTCTGCGAAGCATTGCTCGTGTATCATGGGACAACCGAGTATGCAATGCTGTCGTTAGGAAGCGTGTCTTAGGTAAGGGTGGCAGATCAATAGACGAAGTAGTAAAACTGCATCAGTTGAGGTGGTTTGGACATGTGTTACATATGTTCAACAACCGACTGCCTCGTCAAGCTATGTTTTGCGATATAGTAATAGATTGGAAGAAAGCTAGAGGCGGCCCGACCAAAACATGGCAGAAATCCATGAAGTCACTGACAAGTGAACTGATTCATGTTCGTAGATGTCGACTAACTGGTTGAGGCCGGCGAGATGATAATAATCGATAATTAGAGACCCTGAATCACATGACTCAAAACCGTTTGCGATGGCGCAGTTGCATTTACTCTTTGTCTTCTATGAAATTCCCACCCTCTGAATTATTCATCACCTTTATCTTTTTCCTTTTAAGTTTATTTCACTAGATTCTACTTCTTGAATAATGTCGTCGAACCCTAAAATTTCCGATTTCTGCTAAAACCTTTACTACGTCTACTACTGTAGGATTTGAACTGACAATTGCAACTGTGTGCTAATGTGTGGTGTTGTGACTTGAACTGATGTACCTAAGTACGAAGTTCTGCGTTCTTGTTGACTGACTGACTGACTGCATCGGTAACCGACTAGCATTTTACAACTCACATTGTCCTAAGGCCTTCTTTTCCAGTTCTATTCAATAGCTGTTCATTATTCTCACATCTGTCTCCTCCATTTCTCGAATTATTCATGTTCTTTTAGTCTTCCTTTTTTTGTTCCGTCAACCTTGAAAGTTCCAAATGAGGGCTTGTCTTGTGATGTAGAATCAAACTGCCCTTTGAGATTTAAAACTTCAATTGGGTTCATAGTTTCTTGCGAAATAAATCAGCACTACAATTGTTACCAGTAACAACCAACGACAAGATTGATAAATCAATATTTCATAATCGTTAAAACAAATCAAAAACTGTGGAAATAAAAAACTGTCCCTAAAACAGAACTCATTAAAAATTCATACAATCATGTAATATGAAGTGTTGACATTGTTAGACTCTCGAGTATAAATTTCGAAACAAAGAATTAAGGGAAAATTAAACAACTAAATCAGTAGGGAAAATCATGATAAAAATGTCTATAAAAGTTGGGTTTTTTTCAAGGATATGATAAGGATGCGATGAATTTCTTGTGAAGACTCACGTTATGAGCTCGAATCCCCTCCACCTGAAGTCTATGTTGATGAAGTTGTTGACAAAAAGAGAACGAAACACTACCATCTACATCCATCTGAGTTACAAATTTTCTCCATCATCTCAATTCTTATATTCTGTTTAGTGTAGGCAATAAGATCGAATCTCATAATGAAAGTGACAAGTTATATAATAAACTGACTCAGAGGATTTAGTGCTATCTATTGTATGACCACTTACTTACTTACTTATTTACTTACTTACTTACTTACTCACTCACTTACTTACTTCTGCACTTACTTACTTACTTACTTACTTACCTACTTACTTACTTACTTACTCAATCACTTAATTACTTACTTACCTACTTACATACTCACTCACTCACTAAGTTACTTACTTACTTAATTATTTACTTACTTACTTACTTACTTATGCACTTACTTACTTATGCACTTACTCTTTTTACCCCTGAATGAAGGATCGGGCGCTGATCAGCATTCTCGAACCTACTCTGTCCTGAACCTTCCTTTCCACTTCTAACCAATAGGTGTTAATTCTTCTAATGTCTGTCTCCATTTCTCGACGTAATGTGTTCGTTGGTCTTTGTCTTTACCACTGACCTTGAGAATTCTAGGTGAGGTCTTGTCTTGTGACGCGATTGAGTGCTTTTCGTATTGTATGTCTTACAGGCATTCATTCTTCAGCACACAGAGAGTTGGCTCAATCACCTTCTCCAATTCGCTTCGCTTTGTTTGTACGCTTTCCATTATCATATCTTTCTGCATAGATGAATACATGTTGTAAATTAATCGGCATCATCGTTTTCGGCTTCTTACTAACGCTGTCGTATGAATGGCGTTTGCATAAGTATGATATACAGAAATGGACAGGAAGATTTATTTCATTGCAAACTCCATCATTCGTCCATACTGGAGCCCAGTCGCGATTGGCCAAAAACTAGCTTCCTAAACAAACTCTAACCAGAAAAAAATAACTCAAATCACTTAAACTCTGCCTTGAGAGTTGTAGGGTCTGCATTTAGAACAATAATGAAGCCTTAGGCCGATGTCCGTTTTGACGACCAAAGCAATACAGTAATTTACATGTATGAAATGTTTGTACGATGTAGGAGATCGGCAGGATCATTCAAGTCTCTGGAAAAATGAGAAGATACAACCTGATAGTACTTGAACTAGATAAAACGCATTGGACACAAAATGAACGAAAAAGATCAACCTCAAGGGAGATGCTTTTGTACTCTAGCTATAAAAAAGAAAATGCCTCGGGATACCAACAAACTCAATGAATTCAAGATAAATCTAAACAGTAAATTCTAGGCCTTTCACGATCTACTCAATGAAGCCGAAACTACCTTCGGAAATAAAGAAGTAATGACTTAAACATATCATGAAGTTTTCGGGTCACAAAAACCACAATCACAGGAACTAGGTCTCTTTTACGTCACCAATAAGGTTCGACCAACGTTGGAGCAGAGGAATAAATAGCATGATTCTACCGCACCTAAATACGAAGTTGTTTAGCGAAGGTTGCGTAATACAATAAACAGATTATAGTAATCCTTACAATAACCAACGTTAATAACCATTCCTTTCCGGACATAAATCAGATTCAACTAACCGAAATAAAATTTGAAAGATTGAACGATTTCAATTATCTGTCCAGTATCAATTAACTATCGAGCTACTGCACTATTTTAAAGTCAATGTGCCTGTCAATCTCTAATTCTTACTTCTCACTATATATTATTCTGTCTCAACGGTTGATCAAACTTTGTTTAAATTGTTATTCTCGTTAAATTGTCAATTTCTGTATCTAGTTTTTCTCTTTTTTTTAAAAACAAACAAACAAGGATTTATCAGTAACCATCACATGTGATCGTACAATTGACGAAGTGGAATTAGTCGCTTCACCAACAGAAGTTAGTCAAGTTGATGTAAGATGTGCAGCTGATAGTCAAGAATGGAAAATATTTCATCATGTCGATGTAAGTGGTGTAATTGTGTACAACTACTATGTTTAGTGTATAAATTGGTTTATTTTTAACTGATGAACAAGTCAATTTATCCAAGTGTGCTTCAGTATTTTGATTATGTCAGTTATTCGCTCATAACCTTGAATGTGTTTTATTCTTAGCCTGTGTATGTATGAACCCGTTAGCGTTTTTCTAGAGAGTTAGTCGTAAATCTCATGCCCAGCCCTCCTACTTAATTCATGTTCGAGACCGGAAGGACCCCCAGAGTGGTTGCAGGCGGAATTATGTACGTACCTATTACCCTAATTATCACATATGTTTTATCTGATTTGCAGTCTGACAATACCAATGGATGCCGACCCAGTAATCCAGAGGTTAAGCGTTCTCCTGCATGATTGAGGGTTTCGGGTTCGAACCCTGTGAGTGACAGGAGTCACGGCTGATCACTCCCAAACCAGGACGAAAGTGGGGTGAGAAGACGTAACTAGTCGAGTTCAGTACTGTCGGGTGTGGGCAGTCAGTATCGAAGACGAATGGGTGAGGTCGCACAAAATCCCTAGTGTGATCACAGTTAGAGATTAACATCGTTGAATGCTGTCTCAGTGATTCAGAGTTTAAGACTGAAGGTCCCTATGAGTAGCAGGAGTCATGGATGCGCACGGCTGACAAGTCCTATACAAGGAAGAAATGGCCATCAGTTGTTTCTAGGTTTCTAATGGTGGTGATTGATTCATGATTTCAGTAATCAATATTTGATCATACTTTATTCAAAAGAATTGGATCTTCTAACCTTCCTAACACTGATTTTTCAATTCTAATTTTAATGTCTCTCTGCATACGCAAGTGCATGATATAAACTCATCCGAATGAATATCTACCTGACTTCTTTCATTAATGCTGTGACGCCAACGACATTATCCTAAACGTGAAATAAATGGAACCATTTTCACCCTACAATTCATCCAAAGAATGCTTTTAGAAATGTGTTTTTTAAAAGTCAACTTCCAATAATGTGGTAGAGGTCGATGAGGTCCATTGAAATCGATGAAAGCTAGACTACTATTAAAAAACTTGGAAGCACTAGACAGCCGTTTCGTCCGCTTTTGAAATTCCTCAGCCTTGTTCACAAACAACACTATTACCTTGGATTTAACCTGAGACCTTCGGCGCTAATGTCAATTTCAAAAAATCAAAGATATTTTGAGACCATTTCCCATTGTGTTCGGTAAATGACTGTCTCACACCCGATACGGTTGAACTATGCTGGTTACGACTTCTCATTAGGACTCCAAGAATCCCCGATGGAAACTAGTCACTCATTAACACATGCTAAATGCGATATATAGTTGTAAAAATTGTGGAGTTACGTTGAAATCATGGCCTGATCATCATTCAAAACCTGCAGAGACTGATACCTCTGAATACCGGCTAAATAGGTCAAGAGAAGTGTTCAAGAGAATTGTTGACGCTCACTGCCAACGAGTCTCATACCTATAATGAAACAATCTTTCAGGAACTTGTCAATTAGTTAGTTTTTTTTCTGAATTCAATGATCTTCTCCTTCTCATTTTTATTGGTCTTTGCATTTTTTTTTTCGTTCAGATTAAATCAATGGAAATTCAAACAGGTTATAGCCCTGGTACAAGTAAACGTCGTCATCCTGGTCTAGTGTTTACAAGTCGTTCAGCACGTCGTTCGGGTTATTTTCTTGTCAATATGATTTTAATTAGTTGTGTATTATGTTTGCTGTCATTTGCAGCATTCTCTGTACCAGCTAATGAGAATCGGTTACAATTATCATTATTATTATTATTAACTACGGTAACATTTAAATTTGCTGCATCACAAAATCTTCCAAAAATATCTTATTTAACATATTTAGTAAGTGTGTACATTATGTTTTTTGGTTTGAAAAATGTTTCATATTGTGTGATTAGCAGAAGTTATGAATGTGCACATTGTGTTTGCTCAAATCCTAATCTTCTGGATTCTTCAATGGCTCTCTAGTTTTGACTTTCTAAAGTTATCACATTGAATCATACTTCTTGAATAATAATATCTTCTAATCCTTAGCCTCTCCGATTACTTTGAATACCTTTACTACTTCTTCTACTATTGGATTTGAATTGACAATTATACCTCTGTGCTGATTTGGTATGGCAACATGAACGTACGTACGAAGTTCTACGTTGCATCTGACTGACTGATGTGTCGTCGAGTCCCGTGGTAGGACTAAACGACCATTTTGGTACTAGTAAACGATTCATTTATGCTAACAACGCCTGTAATTTCTATGACAATCTTGAGGCAATCCACACAGAATGCATAGATTTGCCAATCGAGACTAGTCAGTAATTGATTGGCTTTCTTGATAAACCTCATTCAACGAGCCACCAGTAAATGTTGAGACTGATTATCTAAGTAAATAGCATTGTAGCGTTTGAAGTAAAAGATAACTAGGGTTCAAATTTTGTGGGTCAATATAAACTCTGGGATTTTGTCAAGTACATTTAACTGATGAGTTATTCTAAATATGGACGAAACACATATCCTTTAGTCGACTGCCATCCATTAGCTATTTAAGCTTATAATGAAGATAAATTATAGTGTTGCTTCAAGATTGGGTTGCATCGGCACCTGAACTAGTGATAGGGAGTGAAATAGTCGAGCGTGTTGACCGTCTCATCAGTACTGATGGCCTGGTGACTGACGAAATCTCAGCACGGATACAGAAAACTCAACTGGCTTTTGTCAACTTGCCTCAATTATGGCATAGGCGGGATATCCATTTGCTGACTAACGGATAAGTCTAATGTGCAGCAGTTCGCTCCGTCCTACTATATGGCTGTGAAATATTGCAGTTAAGAGTAGAGGGCTTTCGTAGGTTACTAGTATTCGATCATAGATGTCTTCGAAGCATTGCTCGTATATCCTGGGACAACCGTATAAGCAATGCTGTCGTTAGGAAACGAGTACTAGGTAAGGATGGCAGTTCAATAGATGAAGTAGTGAAAGTTCATCAGTTGAGGTGATTGCGACATGTGTTACGTATGCCCGGCCACCGACTGTCGTGACGAGCAATGTTTTGTGGTGTAAGAACAGGTTAGAAGAAAGCTAGGGGCGGCCAAACCTAAACATGAGAAGAAATACATGAATTCACTGACAAGTGGACTGAGTCATGCTGGTAGATCCAGGCTACCTGCTTGTGGTCCGCGAGATGAAAGTCACCAACGGTTACAGACCTTCAACGGCATGTCTCAAAACCGTTTTCAATGGCGCAAGTACATTCATTCATTTTGTTCTCTCAAATTCTAATCTCCTGAATTCTTCATCATCTCTATCCTTTTATTTCTAAAGTTGTCTCACTGAACTATACTTCTTGAATAATATGTTCGAACCCTAATCTTCTCCATTACTGCTAATACTTCTACTATCTCTATCACTATTGGATTTGAACTGACAGTTGTGTCTCTGTGCTGATGTGGTATGGCGACCTGAACTTATGTACGTTATGACTGACTGACTGAAATTATATTGTGAATTGACAGTGGCTAAGAAAATATCCAAAAAATATTTTGATTTTCAAACTTCATGACAAAATGTATTTACAACCTGTTGAAGAATGTCTCCATGAAGTTTACGATACGCTTTTTATTCAGTAAATTTAAAAGTTAATTGTTTTTGTCTCAGACTCTTGTTCGTTATGATAGGAATTTATTCACAAGTTCTAAAACTCCGTTTTATTTCGACTTATTAGTTGTCATCTGGTTAGTGATGATTGAACCGTTTTTAGTGGATAGTTTAGTTGTAGAGTATTCATCAATGTTCTTCCTCTGAACACAACATCGTCAGCACGGATTTCAAGTAGAAGAATTAAAGTATTCAAATTTTTCCACGTATGAAACTCGTAGCTTGTCCTGTTGACTACTAACTTGATTAGTTGTTATCGACCTTCAACCTATGACACTGTCTGTCATGTTACTTTGATTGTATCCTCATTCTCATTCTCAAAGGGAAGTTAGTTACTGACAAAGTCCATATATTTATATATATATTGGAAGACAGGATAGGGGAACATATTCCAAAATGGCTTATAAAATCCATGATTCATCAACCTAGCCTATCATCTCAAAATCGATCAAGAAACCCAGCCTCATCCATTGCAAAACATCTAATGATAAGTGGTCATCAAATTGACCCAAAATCAACCTTCAGAGTTGTGACATGTCATCAAAACCCACACACTCAAACTACTCGAAGCTATCTTGATTGGTCGAAAAAGTGCTACTTTATATGTTCAAAACCAACTAACTGTATGTTGACCTTTGTTTACCACCATGGTTCTAGTGAGTGAATGTCATGCTAAATAAGAAATTGTGACCTTATCTTCAAAACTGCTGTATTTACACACAAATAACATGTTGCTTGTATGTGTGACTGACGAGAAAGCACGAAATGGTACTATCTCACAAAATATGTCTTCTTATTTCTTCTCTATTCAAATTTATCAAAAAAAACCACTGTTTTGAAAGTCCATATATGTCACTTACAAACTGATTCACTAGATATCAACTTACTTACTTACTTATTTATTTACCCACGCATGTCACCAGCATTCTCCGACTTACTCTGTCCTGAATCCTCAATTTTCAGTTCTATCCAACTGTTAGTCATCATTCACATGTCTATCTCCATTTCTCATAGCAATGTCTTTTTTGGCCTTCCTATTTTCCGTTGGGCTTGGGGGATTCCAGATGAGGGTTAGGTGCTTTCCTCAATGTGTGCTCTATTCACTTTCAGTGCTCCTTCCTGGTATCTCGTTCCCACTGGAATCTGGTTTGTTCTTTCCCATAGCAGGTTGTTGTTGGTAGTATCTGGCTAACAGACACGCAGTATCTTGCGTAGACAGCTGTTGATAAACACTTCCGGATGATGTCTTTCGTTGTTCTCCCAAGTAGAACTGTGCTGACGTTTGCATTAAAAATCAACAGGTTGATAGTTGTTTCGAATTTCACTAGAATATCAACACATTAGTCTAATGAGTAAACATTCTTGGATAATTCTACATTTCAGAAGGAGTTACAATCAAAATATAGGTGCAAACAACGACAGGTTTAAGGTTAATCAAGATTGAGTTCAACAGGACAAGCTACGAGTTTCATACGTGAAGAAATTCGAATACTTCACTTCTTCCAGCTGAACTTTGTGCTGATGATGTTGAAGAACAATGAAAGCTCCACAATCAAAACATCCAACTCAGAGAACAAAACTCTACCATATTCATCTATCTACATTGGTTATATATTTTCTCCGTAGCCTCAAACTATCAACCATTTACAAACAGTGTACATGTATGTACATTGTCGACCAAGCCTAGACTAGAACATAACAGCTGTTGATTACTTTCAATTTCTTGTTTTAATTAACCAAAAAATTTATTGATTTTTCTCACTCCTAAATTTAGAAAAAGAAATCATTTCCAATTATATTTATTTTCTGTAATTAATAATTCAAGCATTTAAAAAGTTTTGATACAGTAAAACAAGAAACTAGCTAACACATTCAACTCTTTGTGAAACTCCTTCTCCTTACTGTACATCTATCTCTCTAATAAACAGAAACTTGTTCATCACTCTACTCTGTCCACCTACCAGCCTAATTTAAATATCCAGGGAATTTCCAGATACGCTATTTTACACATCTGAAATCATCAATCAAACATTGTTAGACCACAATTAGAAACCTGGAAGCACTGGACGATGGCCTTTTCGTCCTGTTATGGGACTCGTCAGGGGCAGTGCGCATCCACAACTACTGCACCTCGTGGGATTCGGACCCGGCACCTTTGGTGGTGGAGAAAATTTGTAGCTGTAGGTGACTGATTGTTGTTTCGCGTTTCGTTCAAAGTTTGTGCTGATGATGTTGTGTTTAGAAGAAGAATAACAATGAAAGCGCAACAACCGAAAAATCCAATTCAGAGAACGAAACACCACAAAATTAGAAATGTAATTCGCTCCGTTTTTGAGACGGCATTTGACTCAGTGGATCGTGAGGTTCTGTGGCAGTGTCTATCACTGAAAGTTGTACATAAGAAGTACATTAACCTTACACAAGCTCTCTACTCGAACACCACTGGTCGAGTGAGAGCTTATGACAAACTGTCACCGGAATTCTTTGCTTCAGGTGGTGTCCGTCAGGGATGTCCGCTTTCTCCGTCCTTGTTTAACTTTGTCATAGACATGCTCCTAGATATAACATTATCTTAGTCTGACTTTTCAAGAGTCTACCTTCTACCAGGAAAATCGCTTACCCGCTGATGACATAGTTCTATTCAGTAAAGACGCTGACAAAATGCAGAGTCTTCTGACTACCATAGGCAACAATGCAAGTGTGGTGTGAGCTACTTATAAGTAGTATATGACGTGAGTGTCAACGTAATGTCTGGCAGCAGAAGATGGGGGAAGTTCAAGAAAGGAAGAGTTAGAAAACACAATGGAATTTGTATGAAACGCATGAACAGTGACAATGGACTGATGTTTTGCAACAGGAACAGTCCAGTTCGATATGATGAACTGATATCTTGCAAATTAACGATTTACGATATGGTTTTCCAATTTTACTGAATAACTCTGTAATTTTCGCTAAACACAATACGGTTGCCCCACCTGTGTTCACGTTCACTACACAAGCATGTTCGGGATGCGGTTCTCAACCTGGAAGTGCAAAATGTTGCTTCAAGATTGGGTTTCATCGGCACCTGAAATAGTGTTAGGGAGTGAAGTAGTCGAGCGTGTTGACCGCTTCACTTATCCGGGTAGTCTCATCAGTACTGATGGCCTGGTGACTGACGAAATCTCAGCATGGATACAGAAAGTTCGATT